GGGGGGGGAAGCAGCAAGAAAATCTGGATAGGTGCTTCCTGCCTTTTTTTTCTTTTCCTCAGATTCCCATTGAAAAGCAGAGGGTTTTTTTTTATTATATACACACATTTATATATTTATTTATGCGTAAATGAAAATCGCCATTTGGCACATGGTCTGCTCACCCCGCTGTCTGCACAAAGTATTATGCAGATCCTCTTGTCATCTTTCCAAGGGTAAAATACAGCAGCCGATGCGTGTGCGTGACATTTCCCCGTCTGATCTAGTCACTATACATGCACAGAGCCACCATCATGAAATAGTAATCTCTTAACTTTTACCGGTAGTAGTTCCTGTTTCTGCATCTGCTGTGGGTTTGTTTATTTTTGTTTTCTACTTAAGTGACGGTAATGAGGTTTTATGAGTTCTCAAAGCTTTTCGTGGGGCTCTCTAACCCTGTCACCTCCACTTTTCTGTGCAATAACACCGCCATTTGTCTAACTCCATGAGTTTATCATCATGTCTCGCTCCAGTCTGTTCCTGCGGTCTGTTCCTTCAAGAGAGGGCTTCCTCTTTCAGGAAGGGATTAATAGAGGCCTCTGAATAGAGAAAGCATGAGTCAATAATATGGAGGTATATACAAGTGAGAAAATCCTACCTTACTGCATCCCAGAGGAAAACTGATCGTCAGTTACATGGTGCACCTGAAGCAGTCCGTTCCCAGGAGGCCGTCGTAAGAGGGAATCGCGTGGAGGGTTTCTAGATGCAGAAAACAAGTCAGGTTGAAAAGAAACTGCGTGTCACAGCTCCCGCACGCAACCCCAGACCGCGCTGCCACAGCTGCTACCCCCTCCCTTGTCTTTCATAACCAGCCCTCCCCACAGTTGGAAAGCCACCTGGACCACAAAGTGTTATCATGACAGCATCACACACCTTGAGACCTGGGCTCAGAACCTGGTCCTGATGGTCATTTGCTCTGCGTTTCTGGGGTGGTGTTCAAGGAGCACCCTTCTCACAGCTGCACACATACCCACACGTCCTTTTATCCATCAGCAAACGCCAGGAGTGGAACGAGGGCAGGAGCATCATACCACAGCCACTCGACGTCTCATCTTCAGAAGCGCCAGGTACTTACAGATGCTCTTAGAGCTAATGGAAACCACAAGCCCTGTGCACCTTGAAAGACCTGGGCAATGAACAGCAGCAGCACAGCATATCTCAGGGAAGGCTTTTGCACGGTGGAGTTTCTTCTGTATTCTGGGTCGGTAGATGCCAAGGGCTGGGTCTCTGAAGCCACGGATAGGGCATAGGTCTTCTCTTGCTGTTGTCTGAGAGGACCCTGAAGATTTGACAGAGAGGCAGCAGTCTGAAAGTCTTAGTTTTCTCACTTCATACATTCAGAAGGTATGAGTTAAATAGTGTTTATTTGGCCCTGGGTACTGTTGCAGCCGTGCTGCAGACATTGGTTTCGTGAGCCTCCACATGCAGACGGGACCATTAGGCACTTCTAAAATAGCATCCCCCTAATGCTGTACCCACAAATACAAAGGAGGGTCATAAAGAAAAATTCAGACTAAAGCAAACCAAGTGCACAGAAGTATATAGACTATACTTTAAAGTCATTTGCTTTGAACGGATCGACACAACATTTGCACAGAGATTTGGGCAGGGGTAGGAGATTTATTGTGATCACTAGTAAAAAGCTGATTTTAAGTTCTGCTACTCAAAAACTATTCATAAACCAACCAACACATACATTAGGAGTTCTAGATTATAAATTTCACGCTTTATACCCCAGGGGAAAACCTTCTCTGTTATCTGTATAAGCAGAACTCCTGTTACTGATACAAACAGGTCTCAGTTCTACACATACTTATGATGAAACTCACATACAAAGGTACTCTCACTGATCTCAACTGGTGAGGGTTACATTACCAGTGAAAAGTTTGCTTAATAGGAATCGTCTGCTACAGACAAAGCATGTATAAAGTAGGTAACTTTGTATTTTGTTCACTGATTTGTAGACAGAAACAACCCTTGATTGAGCATCCCTCAAGTTAAGTACCGTTTGAGCTTGCTGCTTTCTGGAGGAGGAAAGGCCTGCCTTCTAGTACAGGTTTGGTAAAGCGGAGTTTGGAAAAGCACGCCGGAGCAGCGCGCTTCATTTACTATGGCAAAAACTGCATTTCGTGTTGCCTTCAGACCAAACAAGGGCTTCCAACTCTCTTTCCTGGAGAGATCTATTCCCAGCAAACACAAAACTTAGGCGGAGTAGTTGTCAGCATAGTTTAATATTTTAATACAAGAACTCAAAATTTACGTATTTAACTGAATAATATTTACAGAACCTAAAAAACACTGTCTTTACCTGTGTTTTTCCTGTTGTACGGTATAGCATAGGCCAGGACGCAATCATCCCAGCTTGACATAAATCTGGAGGATTTGGTTCCAGAAAGCAGTATTTTAGCAGCAAGGAAATGACTCCTCTTTATGTAAAACAGTTCCCTCTTGTGGATATTCTGTGTACAGTATCGCAGACTACGTATTTAAAATATTCATCAAACCTGGATCTTTGCAATTAAAAGGCCCCTCCGCTCAGTAATGATCTCAACACACACAGGACAATCTCAGTTTTAGCAATTAAATATACAAATAAGGAAGAACGAGCTATTGCATTTAATCAGATATTTACCTGCAAAACTGCTCATTATCAATAACTAATTATTTAATTAAGTGCAATAAGCACAAAAAAAAAACCCTAAAGAAAATTGCATAACTGTACCTGTATGAGTCAAGTATAAATCACAGTGTTTTTTTAATTTTGCTTATATAAGAAAACCTTCTGCACATTCCAATAAAGAAAACCATAATTAAAAAAGAAGGAAACCATACACGACATAAAGAAAGGAGACAATAAGAGCAAAACAGTTAGGATTTCCAAGGGTCCATGTACTAAATACTGAAGACAGACAAGCTCTTTGAAATGATAAATCTTTCAATTAAAACAAAAGAGTCCAAGCAAGTAAATGGCACAGCTTCACCGGTGACACAATATTGCACCAGGAATTAATTTGGCATGACAGTTTAAAAAAAGTATGAATGGAGTAACAGTGTAAGATTTATATGTTCTCTAAACGATGACTACCTTATACGAAGAATATTTTTTTTCTTAAGAAATGAAATG